TCCCTGTAATCCAGTGCTAAGTGGCATTAATTGCTGTGGCCTTCCTTTAACTGTCAGTTGACTCCTCTTGATGTAGTCCAGTATTTTTTGATCTGAGATAATGTATCCAAACTATACAGTATTTGTTTATTCAAATATTGACATATTTTAGTTTTCTGGCTATCCTTTGGATCTTTTCTGTATGCTCAAACCTTTTGAGAAAACACCAGTTTTACCCCACAGGTTAATTTAGAAAAAAACATCTTCAAATACAGATTGTCTAGATCAGCGGTAATGAGAAAAACCATAACTTAGGTAGTTGTCATTTAACATCCTTGTGAGTTTCTGCTGAAATGAAGTGTTCTGCTACCACTGCGTGCTGTCTTCCCATCACATCAATCTGCTCTCAAAATAAATATTCTTCTTCTGCATCAGTGATAGTATACTAATTTCTGTTAATATCCTGTTCTTTCTAAGATACCTGAAAATGCCTTGGGTTTTTGCTGCATGCAGATTTCCTGTTCTTTAACATTTTTTTTTACCAGTCCTCTGCAATTCCTGGTTCGTAGCTTAATTCACTGCTATCAAATTAATCTTTTTCAGTTCATAGCTGTTATTCACTTTTACAGTTGTTTTTTTTTTTTTTTTTTTTAAATTCCAACCAATTTGCTCATATTTTAAGAAATCATCCTTCTAAAGCAGTAAGAACACAGAATCCCTATTTTGGGCTTTACATCTGTCAAGGGAATTATTTAGTCATGTTCATTTGCACAAACCAGCCTTTAGGGTTTTTTTAATTTTATTAATTCTTTGGCATCAGTAAGCATGGGGGCTCATACAGTACACTGCCATCTTCATAGGAATTTTTTTTCTGGCTCTCTTAAAGGTTTGGGGTAAATAGTCACACTAGTATTTGTAATTGCTTTCAAAAAATTACTGAAGAGGAATTGCTGTCATGCTACTAGGATCAACTTTATATATTTAAAGGGATATTTTGCTTTTGAGAGGCTGGTATGTACAAAGGAAGTATTCTTCACTAGAGTTTAGGCTGCCCTTTTCAATTAAAAAATGTAAATTTCAATATGGGTTCCTTCATTAGGCAGTTCCTTGTAGTGAAGCCAACAGAGGCAGGGTGAGGTTGCCTATTGCTTTGAATTTTATTCCTCCCCACAGTACTGTTTACAATCTCGTCAAGGATCTTCTAGGCATGCAAAGACAATCACTTAATACATTCAGTCTCAACATTATGAAGTGGATACCTTTCACATCTTAAACGTGTTATCCTCAGTAGCTGTCCTGCTGTTCACGGAACTATATCATTAAAACAAAGCAAAGTACACACAGTGCTACTCTAGAAGGAAAAACTACCATTTCCCTCAGGCCTTCTCTATATCCTTGGAGCACGGTCGGTCGGCTTAAAACAAAAAGTCTGTGTGCAGAGTAGCTGTGATGTTCTAAGGCAAGTGAAATGTTCAGTACTGTCTTTTTGATTGCACATATTGTTTTGCTTCTCTAAGCCAAAATTAAATTATTGAAGCTTATTAAATTCCTGCCTGAGCTGGATGAAATTTCATAGGAAATATTTAAACCTAAAGCAAGTTACCTTTTTGAGGGTGGTGGAGGGCGGGGGGGGTAGTTCAGCAATATAGTAGCTTAGAAAGAAAAACAAATTCTGTATTTGCAATCTGAGCTAGTATAATGAGCACCCCATTTCAATAACTGGAAAACAACAGAAGGAATGCTACAAGACAAGTGAGAAAGGGAGACTCAGAGGGGTAAAAGCAGACTAACTTAAGCTTTAAGGAAGACACAGTAATGTTATCTGGCCAAATTCTTTAGAATCCATGTCACAAACAACTCCACGAGAACAGCAGAATTGCCAAGAGGACAAGGATATATGCCAACGGTAAGACGAGCAGCATTGCAATTTCACATCAAGGTGACTTTTTTGAGCTGGACTAGTTTCTGCCCAAGAAAAGATAAGTGAAATGTCTACCATCTTTTTTTTTTTCCTATTCTTGCACCAGGTGGCACTTGAGGAACACCCAGCGCCGCTGCCCAACGCACCTTGCCTGTGACCGCCGACCACACTTTGAGCGTGTTGTCGTCCGAGCCGCTCACGATGCGGTTCCCGCAGAACTGAAGGCAGGTGATCACGTGGTCATCGTGGCCTTTGAGCACCTGGGGAGGAGGACATACAAACGTACAGTCGCAACTTAACGCGGGAGGTTAGAGAAGAAGCAGAAACAAAGTGCTCTTCTGATTCATAAGTTATAAAATGCTAGGGTTGCTTCAGTAATAACAAGGCCCCTTAATCCTGTGTGTCAAGTCTAATTTACCGCCAGCTGGGACCAAAGGAGGTGTTTTCCTTCTGCCATGGAGTGATACTGCACTGCTTAGCGAGCACACTACAGCTATTGTAAGCCTCCTAAAAGTACCAGGAAAATCACTAATAAATCACTAATAAAAGTAGGCTCAATTAGTAAATGGACATTACTCAACCCTTCTGCAGTTATTCCATCCCTTTAATTTTCAGTTGAGTTACTTTTACCTTTTAAGAATTGTTTCAATCTTGAACAAACAGGATGGGGTTGTATTATTTCCTGTGTATTTGTGTTTCAGTGGTCAAGGCTGACTGTGTCTATTTTTTTGCTTCCTTAACCAGCCAAACAGCACTGAAGTCAAACACTAGAAAACTGTTAACTCAATTAAATACAAACAAACGCAGTAATTTAACGTGCTGGAAATGTGGACTGGGATCTTGCTTTATAGAGATGAGATTGTCAATGCTTGATGTGGCAAAAACTGCGATTCAGTGTACTGTACTGCAACATGGAAAAAAAAATCCTTATCAGAATACACAGGATGAGGAATTTTTTATTTAAGATATCCGAACACTTTTCAAGATGTTCAGCGAAATGAAATGGGCATTTGGGTAATGCCTGAGGCTGTAATTTTAATAATAATTCCAAGATGAGTTGATGTGGCGTATCAAGGCAAGGAACACAGACTCACTGCCAGAGATGTACGTAGTTTTTTTGTTTCTACTATTTTGTTCTACAGTAATCAAGAAAATAGGCAAATTACTTTAAAACCTTAAAAGGCTACGAATATGGGTGGTCTTCATCTTTCTGACTGCTTGTTTAATACCAAGCTTGATTAGACGGTTGCCATTTGATTTTACAGAGGGTTTGAAGTATTGCTTCATATCTTCATAATGGAAAAGATGGAATGATATCAATGTCAATAAAGAATTTTAACATTTTTGTAAAAAAAAAAATAAATCATAATATGGAATGAAGTAATTGTCTTGTACTGATCAATTTGGAAGAGTATGTATAAAAAATAAAGCGCAAAATGATCACAGAATATTTGTGGAGTAGTTTTACATTGCGACATGGCCCCGTTCTACATACACACACATACATATATTATATATGTGTGTCTATGTTTAATTTAAATATAAATATTTCCAATTAAGTTTCTGATATTATGTCTCAAAAAGACTGGCACATTTACAGGAATTAAAAATTTGTGCAGAAATCTTTAGAACAGCAGTGAAAGAAGTCTGCTGTATGAAGAATCAAATTTTTATTTGCTAATATGGTGCTCGGAAATTAATTTAAACCCAGGGTAAGCGAAAATACATGTTTTTTTTTTTTCTGTAACAACAGATTCTTTTTTTGTGCATAGGTAGCCTGGCTTGTCTGAGAGAAAAAAAACCAAACCCCACGAGTTGATCCTGTTTGTTCATGGCACCATGCACATAGCTCAGAAGCTTTACCTTAGGCGATTTAAGTTCTCCTCGCCGCCAGTTGGTATCAATCCTGTGTTGTCTAATGTAGGCGCTTTTCCATGGACTGTGTATAAAGCCTGGTTTTATTACTTTCCTCCTCTTGATATGTAATGGTTCATCAATCCCTAAAATGAATTTTATAAAAAAGGGGGGGAGGGGGAGAGATGAGAAAGAAGAAAACAGCCTCTCAACCTCCCAAACCTTCAGTGACCTCTGACATTACACACCGCATTCACGTAACAACCTCTCACATGCCAGTGTTTGCACTGTGTGTCAGTGACACCACCCTGCTCCTCAACTCTTTATGCTGCATCTTTCCTTGTCACTTAAACATTATCATTACTGCAATCATGGCTTACAATGCCCTAGTTCATCATTCCTTGCTGGCAACCCTACCAGCTTGGTTTCAGAAGCCCCTTTCTGAGGCAGTGTAGCAGAATATTGCCATTTTCAAATGGGCACTGTCAAACAAACTCCATAATCGCTCATATACTCATTTTGGAATCCTCCAAAAAGTAAACCTCTCTGGCTGTGGTCCTCCTCTCTGGTCACCCAGCTTCATTAGCTTTAAGTTCACTGTGACTCTTGGTACTAGCGAGCTTTTAATTCTTTTCTCGATTTGAAAGGCTGGGTGCTTCTGGCATTGTCCTCTCCTGGCTGGAATTTAAGTATAGCTATGCCCTTTAGAGCTTTGGTTTAGCCTTTCTTCTACAGTTACCTCTTTTTTTTTTTAAACAATTCTCTCTTTGCTGTGCAGCTCCTCTCTCCAGTGCACCTCATTACTAACAAGAGTTTTGTCTCCTGCCAGTATGTGGATTTCGCTCTTCTGCCTTTAGCCCCTTCTCCAGTGTCTCTACCTGCAAGTCTTAAGTTAACTGCTCCTTCACATTACCAAGTACCTCAGTAAGTCTACCCAGGCTACTATACTGTTTGATTTGTCTGTGCTCTCATGCCTGGCCACATTTTTTTTACTTCTAAAGTTCACAGAAATAGGCTTGTTCCCCTCTCAACCTTCTCCCTCTTTCTCATTCTGTCCTTTTAATGCACTTTCACTGAAATTTTAAGAGAATCTTTAGAGAAGATTTAAGAGGCTAGACACCTGGTTTCCATTGCAAAAGAAAACAAATTAACTTAGGTGCCTTTACAGATAGCCAGCCACATTCACATTGTCATGTTTCAAAGCCTGTGCATTGCCCTCTCACAAGTTCTTGTCCCCAGACTCTGAGGCAGCTGGGCCAGGACCCCTGTCTTTGCCTGCTCTGAGATCACACACGCGTGTGAACTTCCCAGCACAGACTCTTTGTTCATATAACTCTCCTTAAAAAATAAAGCTTATATTCTTCATGTGCTCAAATATGTGGCTACTTTCCTGGGAGCCTTTTTTTCCCATTCCTATTATTGCTGAACCACTGTATCTTGCCATCTTGGCACAAACAGGCAATATCCATGTGGATTATGGAATATGTCTCCCTCTCTAAGCAATCGAGTTAGCACCGTCCTCCCCTACCATGTACCATTTCTCTGTTTGTTAGTCTTCCTACAAATGATCTGAAACCACAGCATCCCTTCTACATGACCACTGAACTTAACTCTAGTTTCATTTCTAGTACTCCAGGGATTATTTCTGCTTCCTTCTTTCACCAGAGATTCATACCATGTAGCTCAAAGCATCACTAGCACCAAATCTGAAGTCACACAAATTGCCTTCGCAAAACTTTAAGCCTATTATGTAAATGGACTGTGCTTTTTACGACAGCCACACTTTGACCATTACATCCATCTTTTTGCTCAGCCTTACCCTCCTCTTTGCATTTCTCTCTCCAGAGAAGATTATCTTCAGCCAGAATTCTCCAGTAACGACATGTCTGGGCTGCCTGCAGAAGGTCCCTGGGTTCCAGGAATGACAGCACATACAGTGCCAGCTGTAAAAAAAGAGAAAGAAAGTGTATTTTCTGCATTGCTTTTGAATGAAAAAGTGAAGTAACTTCAAGTATTATCACACACCAGGGGCTGAAATGGAGAAAATTGAAACAATAAATTATTAAACAATCTCAGAATCTTAACAGAGTTACAGTTTATTCCAGTGGGCACATTAAAGTATAACAAGCATCTTAAGTAACTAAATCCATACAGATCACATCAGAAATGATTCTTGTGTTTGCAAGAAAGTAGATGTCAGCTGAAAGCACTACTGCCTTTTCAAAAATGGAATCCACCTTACTTTAAACCATTAACATGATTATCATGATTACTAAAATAATTATGTCTACGTTATTTTAGCTAACAAGTATACCAGAAGTTATTTTGAGATTTTTAACTAGGCAGTACAACATTCACTGTGTGAGCAAACGGGAAAGTGAGTTGTGAGGCTCAGTGTTGCTCAGTAAGCCTAAGCACAGGAAAAGTAAATGCTACATGCACTCCAGTTCAAAAGCACTCTGCAGCTGAAGGAAATGCAGCCTATGTTTCACTTGGTTTCTGATTAGAATGCAAACACACTCCTAGGTTGTGTTACAGGGAGTTTTGCGGACTGGGATGCAGGGCTGAAATATGTAACTTTAGATACTCTACATAGTATGGTACCAAAAATGTCTGGGAAATTCCTATGAGCACCAGATAAACAGAAGATGAACTTTTCCCTGTGACAAAATCAAAGGTTATTGGGAGAATTCAGACCTCAGTTGACTGAGCTAAGCCATATAATGATCACAATAAAACCCCCATAATCACTACAAAGATCTGCAGACGTACTGAAGTCTTATGCAGGGTCAAAGGTACCTAAAACACAATCCAAAATACAGGACAGCTATCCTTAGGGTATGATGACCAAGCACAGTTTTTTTTACTTTGCCAGCAACAGTGCATCTCCCCAGCCATGGAAAGTAAGAGTGTGAGATGCAGAAGAGACCCTTCCATGGCTAAAAACTCCACAGAGAGAGCAATATTCATAAGAAATGATGCAGAGAACTACTTACATGCTGAAACAGTGAAGTCTTTGTCAGTAATTAATAGGATGCAAAAGTTGCCAGGAAAATCAGATCTCCCACTTTTACTTCTGACATATCTTTTTGTGTTTAGGACTTCTTATTTAATTTTTTTAGCCAAAGTTATGATGTATATAAATAGAATCTGCCCTTCAAAGCAAGCAGCAGACTGAAATTCAGTCAGGAAGTCATAACCATAGGCTGTTGACCTCAGCAGATTTTTGACCTTATTATGTGAGAAACCAGCCAGTGACTGAACAGGAAATAAAAATTCAGTATGCCAGAACTGTTTGCACTTTCTGCACACACACCTTGTTTGCAAGTCATCACCTGCAGCTCACGTTGAGCACATAGGACTCCACATTTGAAGGAACTGTGTCTTGAGTTACACATTAGATCCCATATGCACCTCAGGCCACAAAGCTGAGGAATCTCCCTCCTGTCCCTGCTCAAGGAGTCAGCATTCTCTACTGCAAAACCAACAACTGTACCCCTCCTTTTAGACTTTCTGCCTCAACTCCTTGTATGTAAAAATTATTTAAGAAGTGCTGTTTCCTAACACACATCAGATAGTCCAGCATGCAGCAAGACTCAAACATGGAAGAGATCCTTTCCATTTTTGCTGAATGTTCCTCAACTGAAAGCAGTTTGTTTAAATATCACTTGTCCTGTCTATACAGATATGGACACTTGCTAAGATGGTGTTAATTAAAACCTGCCAGCCAACTGATTCTAAAACAGGTTACATATGGGTGACATTTATTCTAGACTATATTTATCTAAATAGTCATTGAGGATCAACACAGCCCACAGTTGACTTTAAGATTAGCAGTGCGTAAACTATGATGTCCCTTTGTCTCAGCTCATGGATCTAGTTATAAGAAAATTTCAGGTAGCAAAGATCTGACCTTTGACTCAACTGTGTCTAAAGCTGCTCTCCACTGTAGTGTTAATAATGCCCAATAACAAGCAGTGTCTTGCCTTTTTCTTCATTTGCACATGCAGCACCAACAAAATTTCTGTGGCTGATTTCAGCAAAACCCCTAATCTGTTGTTTTCCAGACCCTGTTTTCACAAACAAGTGATTTCAATAATTATTTCTAAAGTCTCAGCAAGCAAGCAGGAGTATTAATTTCAGATTGACTGACTGCATGTTTCCTCAGGAGGAAAGTAAACATTTTCTTGGTTATTCAGCTATTAAGTTACTGTCTTTGCATTGTTGAAAACATTTTTGAAGAAACCCCCTCCTGTCCAAATCATCCTCTTGCTCTGGTTAGGTAATAAAACCACCGCTTTGCATCCAGCAGCACTGGAGAAAAGTACAGATGTTAATGTGGAGTGACAACTCACGAGAGCGTGTTTTCACAGGATGCTGGCTTTGACAGGGAACCCTGTTTACAGAATTACTGACCCTAACATCTTGTTCCTTCCCCCATGGCTCAGTTCATCACCCCCAACTGCAGCCGGCATAAGTAGCTGGGGACAACGTCACCTAGGAGATCTGGGTGAAGAAAGATCTTCAAAAAGCAGAGGAGATGGTGGAATCATCTCGATGGGTTTTTTGTTTAACTTGGTTAATTCTGGTGACAGAGATTGGGGGTTAGGAAGCAAAAATGAAGGCAGCTTCAGTGGCAAAGTCAGCCTTCCATGAAGTTAAGCACTTGACAATATTCTGGTTTCAAAAGGCAAGAAAAAGCGTTAAAAATTAAAAAACTAAACACAAGTACTTAAAAAGGAGTCAAGAAAAACAAGTGAGAAGGAGTTTTACAGCTAAATAGCGTATCTTTTTCTGTGAAGAAATTGCTAAAACTGAAATAATAATATGGTCATTAGTTAGAGCATAACTAGATCACTGGTTGTACTTGAATTAGTTTTGCCGCTAAATCATGCAAAGAACTCAGCTGTGAGTTACTGATATCAACACTGCATTAAGTTTTCAATAGACACAGAAGTGCCAAACTGTCTTCTGTCTTCTCAAAACACAAAGTCTTACTGCCTTCCTCCACCTCTGAACTCAGGCTGCTTTGGGCAATTTCTCTAGAAACATGGCAAGCACACAGAGGTCTTACTGAACTCTCCCCCTCGCCCAGCGTCCTTCCCATTTATGAAGCAGGCTGCACAGGAAGTGCCTCTGTAAATACTCATCTCATGTCCTGTGGTCTACATTAACACTCCAAAATCACCTCCAACCCTCACAAATGTTAACCAGCAAGGAAGGCTGTGACAGTTCCTGACTCACAAAGATATGACAGTATATAAAAGGCAAGAAGGGTCTTGTACATCTAGGGATTCAATATTATTCAATACAACAGAAAAAGATGCAAAAGAATCAAGAGACATAGAACCCAGTCTTCAGGTAATAAGGCCATGTTAAACACAGCAACCAAACACTAGCACCAGAATTATCTTTTAAGAACTTGCTTTGTAATGTTTTGAGTAACTGAAGGCTTAAAAAAGACTCATGGAAATGTTCTCACGGAAAACCCAACGTGTGGTAGATCTGGCAAAAGAAAACAGATTTCTTCCCCACTCCAAATAACAAAGCAATTTCCTATTCCCTAAAATCAATCAAGGTCAGAAGTACCACTTCTAAATGAACTAAAATACATTCATTTAATAATTGTAGCAAACCAGATTTATAAACTTTTATAACCACCATCACTAGTTGTGAAGAAATCAAGAATTACTCTTCTGTGGACAGCATTTAGTTACACACGCTGGTAAGTGCACACGTTGAAATCTAAATCTTAGTTTCTCTTTAACCTGATACAACGTGATCTGATTTGCAGATTTACTGTAAGGTATCTGCTTAATTAGGGCTTGGCTTTATCCTTAGTGAGAAGTGTTTTTCTGTGATACTCTTGGGTTTTTTTGGTAGAAATTTCAGGGTTCAGTTTGTTTAAAATAAATTAAAATATAACACTCACAAACCCCCCACCACTTAAAGCATTAAACAATAATGCTTATACTTACAGAATAATATACAGCAAGGTCTTGCAGTCAGAGTAACTTTTTCTGTGTGCATGCCCTAACAGAGTTAATTCTCCAAAAAGAAGTAGAATCAGCCCAATTAAGATACAGAGATATTTTTAAAGCTCCTGGAATTTTGTTTAAAGGGGCCATCCATATTTCCAGGTATCTAAACGCCTATCAAGAGATAAAGGCCTGTTAATCCAAATTACAGCATCTGTGCTAGGGCAGCTACCACACTGTGGGCCTCTATCATCAGTTTACATCACTACATTGACAAAACTGAATGCCATAATTAGCATGGAAGTTTTTAAAAGGTGGCAGCTGAGGTGCTGCACGGTCCAGTATCAACCTTTATTTCTCACCTCTTTTGGGAGCAAGGAAATGAAGTCTCTTTGAAACTGGGGCTCTATCACTTGCATCATGTGTTTGACTTGTGTTGGTTCACAACTATCAATGAGTTCATCTAGAGCAAGTAATTTCTCTGGTCCACTCCAGCTCTGCAAGGAAAAAAAAAACAAAAAAAAAAAAGAAAGGAACAGAAAGCTTAGTTTAATGCACTAGTTTGGTTTTTATTAGTAACTGCCATTGCTTTGCCAGTAAGGCAACTCAAGTTTCCTTGTCAAGCTACATAAAAAGTCAGCAAGATAAATGCTTGTGTTAATTACACAAAAATGAGAAGTTAATCAACACAAAAATATTCAAAAATTACTACATTGATTCATAAGCTAAGAAAGCATCTGTTACATGCACACATACAGATTAGCAATTAAATAGATAATAATATTTAATAATAATAATTAAATTAATTAAGCTTCTTTTGCAGTTGATGAAATCTATACACACATTACTGACAAAGAAGGGGATGCAACAGAGCACGCTCCCTCTCCCACTTTCTCCATTGTGCATTCAAGTGGGATGATAACTTTTAACCTTTATGTTTTATCTGCTAGGCCAAAAACTTGAAATTAAATGAGAGGAAAGACAGAAACTTTCTCTAAAAGTATATTAGCTTATTGCCTGCTTATTACCACGGTACATCCCTGAGTGACAATGCAGCAATTTCAGAATCCTGGCTATAAACCAACACATATTTTGTAAGTATCAATTTACACTTGAATAAACAGGGAATTTTGGCTGGTAATTTTCTTACTTCACATTTTTACTAATGGGCACCATAAAATCTGAAAGTTTTAATAAGGCACTCATCTGAGCATGTAGCAGATTAGCAGCATCATTTCTAGAAAAAAAAATAATGACAATATACTGCACATCTGAAAAGCACATCTTAAACTCATCTGTGCTCATCAAAGAGTTTTGATTTGTTATGTGAAAACAATTTAAAGAAAAAAATAAGTTCTTTGGGAAAAAACAACAGCCACCACTTACTGATTTAGCAACAGAACTAGAGCATGAACAAAGCCTTATAGAGAAAATGAGACATCACAGTTTTTGAAAGCAGATTCACGTTCATATTGTTGAATGCTTTCTAGAGTGACATTTACAAGTAAATTAGCACATACAAAGCATATTATAATTATGGTAAGAGGCTAACTGAAATTAAAGGAAAAGGGCAAGATACCTTACAATTAAGATTTCTGTACTAATCTGCCATGTATCTCAGGACCTTTATTACTCATCCTCTAAACCTCTGTTCTCTAGATTTGATTCTGACAACTAACTCCGGTCTCCACAATACTACAGTGTTTGTAGTTCCTACAGAACAATAAGACAAGTGAAGGTGGAATTTTTGAAAGCAAACACAAAACAGATAAATACCCCACTTCACTTGATGTAGAAAGATGAGCGCGTTGCTTCATTTCTCTCTAATTAAAATGTCAAAGTACTTAAGACTGTCAAGGAAAGTATCATTTACCCACATGATGACCCACCTGACTTTCAGATGACCCCATTCCACCAGGGCAGCTAACTTTCAGATGACCCCATTCCACCAGGGCAGCTTGGAGCAGCCTTAATGATGGGGTAAGCACCTGCCAGGACAGTTGTGAGCAAGGCAGAAGTGTGTAGCAGCTTGTTCACCCCAGTTATATGCTCTTGCTCTACAGCATGGCAGACACTGGACAGCCTACCCTAACAGTTGTGAGCAAGGCAGAAGTGTGTAGCAGCTTGTTCACCCCAGTTATATGCTCTTGCTCTACAGCACATGCATGGCAGATACTGGACAGCCCACCCTAACAGAGGAGGGGAACAGGAAGGAAGTCCCTATGACCTGAGCCTTTCCACACAGAGTTGGCAACTGGTAAGATGGTCTAAGCTTGCAGGAAAATATTCCCCATCCATGTGTGTATGTAGACTGTCACCATATCAGATGAGGGTTTCCGTGTCTCATATCCAATATCTCAGAATATTAAAAAGACACAAGAATGTCTCAGCATAAATTGCAGCAGTGCTGTTATAAATTACTTTTATTCTAAATTTCTTTCAATAAAAACATTTGCATCACAGAGCAATTCTCCATAAATCATGCACTGAGGAACTGTTTATCTCACCAACTTTCCAACTGCTGTTTGTTTCATTAACCCAGAGCTTAGCTGGTGTTAGGCACAACCATTTGCCATCTTTAATCTCATCTGTCAGCTGTGTTTGAATTTAGGAGAATTAAAATAAGGGAAAGTAATATCTGTACTTCTTCCTTATAATATAAATTTCCAAGGTCAGTCTACCCTTAATTTATAAGCAGCTCCATTTATGACATTAGAACAACTCAACCTGAAGAGCACTGCTTTTGGCTGTGGCAAACACTGCTAGCAGTTATGAACATGTTACCAATTAATAATTTCACTGCACACTGCCCTAACACGTAACTCTCTTACACTGGGAAACTTCTGTTTTCAAAATATAATACAGATCTGAACAGAAAAGGAAAAAGACTCAGGAATGGGAAATGATGCTAAGGAATAAAAGCAGTGCCCTCTTTCATCTGTCCATTCATCATTAGGGGATGGCTACAGGCAGCTTCCTAAGGCTCTTTTTAAGCAATCAGCTGCTACAAAATGTTTTCTCTAGGACATTGTCCTCTTAGTCTTTCACTTAAGCAAACAAACCTCCAGCTACAGTCAGTAAGGGGTCTCTGAGGGAAATGTTTGGCATGGAAAATTGGGATGAAGTCTTGCCAGATGAACACAACTGTTTGCATTAATGAAGGCAAGACGAGTAAATTACTGTTTCTAGGCCTCATAGCTCGATCTGTTTGCAGAAAAATCCTGTGTAGCACATTGAGTGGAGGGGGTAAGAAAAAGTTTGCAGCTTTGATCAAAAACAACAGTGAACAAATGTTGCAGAAGAGGAAAAAAAAAAAAAAAAAAAAGTGTGCAAACAGTTCTCAAAGTTTCCAACACTGCAGATGACCAGAGACTTCTGAGATACATGGTGTAGTGTCCAGATACCTTGGATTTCTACCAGATGATTCCCTTTCAGACTGAAGACCCTAGTAAAGAATATAATTTATCTTTAAAATGCATTTATTTAGTTGACTTTCCTTGTCTTCAAAACTTAAGTTTCATTCTAATGTAAAATTAAAATAAAGCTTTTATTATGGGCAAGGTTTCCCCTAGAAAAGGTTAAGTCCAGGATTCATTCACATATCCCTTGGAAAGCCAGCAGGGACTGCTCATACTGCTCTTTGAAGGATCTGAGATTCCTAAACAAAGATTATTCTTCTTCCCTCCTATTTCCTCAGGGACGTGTTGATTTGTCAGCCAGGGCCTGTTCAGTGGTTCATCCCATTTCCTCATTCAGTAATGCAGTTGCTGCAATCATGGCACTACCTACCTGAAATCTATCCCTTCTTTTTCCCCTTTGCTATTCTCTTTACATGTCTTTCCTGTCTTTGCCAGGCATGCAGAACAGCTTTATAATCAATATAAACGACACCTTGGCTGCTTCTACAACTTCTACAATTTTACCTCAAGCCTCCCGTCTGACCTGCCACCTAGCCTTTTATCATCTTCTGTTTCTGCACTTCCACTCTTTCATGACCTTATGCTTTTCTATGACACAGCTCTCATCTGCTAGTTCAAATCTGCACAATTACAGTTTGTAGCAATTACATCCTTTTACTGTTGTAGGTATATTTAGGATACCTATTTTAAAGGGTTTAATTTCAGGGTACTGTTCTCTGTTACTGAGTTCTGTTTAATGGAGGTCTGTCATTACAGAGACCTGCAGGAAGGGCTCTTCTGGAGTCTGCTTCTGTCTGACTCTTGATCAGCCAAGAACCCTACCATCCTCCACCTCAAAGGTATCTCAGTCTGGATAAAAATAACACAACAGCAAAATCCACTGAAGGAAACACCATCTAGATCAGCAAGTAGTTTGTCCCAACAGGAGGGGTTTGAGAGCAGCTGGTGCTGAAGGCCCCATATTAACCCATCTCTCAGACACAGCTTGGTCCCCTGGGCTGAACATTTGTACCACACTTGATGTGAACCCACCTAGAGGAGCACTGACTGGTTCTGACCCTTGTGTCCCTGCAACGGGTTTGACAACGTAGAGCTTCTGAAAGAAGTCTGGTTTGTACAGATCAAAACTGCCCTGAGACCCACCCCAATGGGAAATAAGCAGGGATGATCAGATCTGCTTTAAGTCCACACACTACTCCTCTGACAAACTGATGATGGTGATAGAGCCAAAAGGGGTATGCAGCTGTAGGGCAGACCTCTCCCATTCTTTGTGCAGCAGTTGTACAGAAAGACCAAACTCCTGACCTAGTCCCACCACAAGGAACAGAGCAGAAAATGCTGCAATGCTGGTTATGATACAATCTTTACTGCCTGCTTCACGTAAGAGGTGGACTACTCAGTCACACGTTTATGTATTCATGAGTGTCTTCAGCAGAATAAGAAATAGAGAATGGTAAGTAATTTGAATTTAGGTGGCTCAGCCAACTATTTATGTAAAAGCAAGGAACCGTACTCTTGCCAGCCAGAAATGGCAAAAGCATTTTGGACACTATCTAAAGTGCTGAGGAACAAAACACTTCCAATCTTAGTTAAATAACAGCATTCACTAGTTACTCAAAGTGATTGCCTATACTTACTGTGTATGGAATAACTTTTCAACATCAATATTCCAAGAAAATCCAGATTTTTTTAATCACATTACTTAAACAAAACCCAACACTATAAGTATGTGAAGTAGGAAGAATGAAAAGAGAAAGAGAGAACTCAATAATTTTTAAAGCAGAATCATTTCTGACTGAACTTAGTTTGCACCTGACTTTTTTTCCTTATGGCAAGCCATTTGGTGACTTAAAAAATATATCCTGTTTCAAATAAAGTAAAATTTCTTGTAAAAGAAAAAGGCTTGTAAAGATACACTTAGGCACTGAGTTTTAAAAATCTTATAGTGGATATTAAAAAGTCCTGAAGCCAAAAGCCACTGCAAAACAGTGGCTGTTATTAAAAATAAACAGTCCTTTAAGAATTTAAATGGTTCGAACCTACTAAAAAGCTTTTCTATTTTTTTTCCCCAGACTAACATTTCATCAAAATAAATACAGAACTTCATTTTTAAAGGGAAAGTGCAACTACACTTGCCCTTGTTTCTCCTTGCTGCACTAGCTTTTTGTAACCTCCAAAACAGAAGGCTTAGATCAAATACAAAACATAATAGCAGCAATAACACACACACAAAAATTAAAAGCCCTTAAATGCCATCTTAAGTTTTCTTAATATTTGAAGAGTGGTCTTGCTTTTTAGCTTGAGAAGATAACACAGGACAATGACCTAAGGCCAATGTACAGGTGAGAGATCTCAAAATAACCAAGCAGCACTTGTTACTGCCAGCTTCTATGCCAGAGGATAGTTCTACCTTGAAAGAGTACGTATGTCTAGCTAACGTGCCCTGGGAAATATAGCTTTTAAATTAATTTGAAATATATTTTCATATAAAGTAAGATAGTGCTAGTAAGCAGGCTTAGCAGGTATACAGTGTACAAAGAAGAAAGCTTTCACATTTCTGCACAGGAAAAACTGTATTGCAAGAATGATGCTACATGTGTCATTTAATTCTGCCCTTTGGGCAGAGCTAGCTGCCCTTACTTTAAGAATGTGCTTTTACCATTTACTGTTTAATACTTGCCCCTTTCATAAAACTCGTGGAAAAGAAAACACACAGAAACTGTGGTGGCTTGGCATTAGCCAAGGAGATGTGACACTGATAAAGCTATGTGACTTTGAAAGCTCCTTTTTGAGATACAATAAAAAATGACCAGTGACAGAAGTGATCCATAAATGCTACTTGATGATCTCCAGTTATGAGAGTGAGGCCCCTGTTTCTCCCTCTCAAGAGTACAGATCAGCATTTAGGCATTTAGTATTGGTACTGAGACAAATAAGTACTTTGAAAAGTCAGAAGAATCTAATTATATCTTTATTAAAGCATGGCTTCTAGATTATTAGCCCCAAATTTGGCACTCCAAAATAGTAATAACTTAACTCAAAGCAAAATTTCCATGGGCTTACAGATTTCCTTCCCTCATCCTGACCAAACAGCATCACTTTTGCTGTCAAGCATGTTTGCACCACTCTCTTCGACAATTCAGTCCTCCATAATCTTTTTTTTTTAATATATAACTATTGATAACTAGCAATTTTATGTGAGAAAATATACATTATAGCTAACAAAATAGCTTTTGTTACTACAAAGGCTTTAACATGACAAAAGGTTAAAATACAGTGTAGTATTACATTATCATATATACAAAATACCACTCAAATATGATTCTTAGGGGTTAAGAAGACATAGTTCTGTGAACAGTCTAGAAAAAGAAGATACACCATAATAATTAAATGTGACTAGTTTTAAGAAACTGAATGATGTGTACAAGAAGATCTTAATTCCAAACTTCCCCTGTTCTAAGCAGATTATAAATGTGTAAAAATAAAGAGGGAAGGAGTCTTATATTATTATTTTAATGTTCAGAACTGACAGTGATTGAGATCAATGGTATTATGTGGCAGCATGAATCAAGCCAAAAGCACGCTTCTGCCTGCACAATTGTATGCTCACTACTGTATCTACAATATTGCTCTTCTATCTTTGCCTGTTATAGTAATTGAAACAATGCCTCTATTAGTTACTTAGTCCTTTTGAAAATGTTTTGAGAAGTATCAGTTTAATAACCGAGATTGAAAGACACAATATTTCCATTTTTCAGACCCATTGACTAGGACACCTCTCTGCTTCTTACAAATACAGAGCACAGCTGTGAAGAGATCTCCACGGTACAGGTTATAGAACAGGTGCAGAGGCTTGCCCCAAACTGTGTGTGTATTAACGTGCACAAAATCAGCTTAGGTGCTACCAGGTTGGTGTCCACACAGATTTCAGTTTTGACCTGTGTAAGTGGTCCACAGCACTGCCCTTCACACCTTTTCTTTTGTCAGATTAAATTTTAGGCATTGCAGAGGGTGGTTGGAAAGATACAGAGAACCTCGTTGCCCTCTCTGTTCAATTCTGTGTGCATGTACTGGCTGACATTGTGTTCAGTATACAAGGATCAGTAAAACTACACACAGAGTTTCCTTTTAATCTATTTTTGTTAAACTCCTCTTCCTATTCTTAGAAGAAACCAGACTCATGACAAATTTAGTGCTAGACCTGCATTGAAGCAAACCACGCTTCAGTGAAAACATCTCACGTTAGCTTGAGGCCACAGGGGTAGCCCTTGCAGGTTGGACAGACATTGCAGAAAGTGTGCAAGCATCAAACAGGAGGGGTAAGGAGCCAGAGAAAGCAGGTTGGTGTTGTTTTTTGTTTCTTTTTTTTTTTCTTTTCCCTTGAATCTCTACAGTAACTAGCTCAAACAGGGAACAACAATTCCTTAAAGTTGATGCTCATTTGTTTTTGCAACAGTACACAAAATCAATGACAGAGACATTCTGGGATGTGTAAGGAGGACTGCCTCAGATGTTTGTTTCTCTAAGCACTGATTACCTGAAACATTTTCAGCCATTCCTGAAGGCCCGTTGGTGGCTGCACAGATGTAATGCGGCGACGTTGCTGTCCCTGCCCATTGGCCGCCCTCAGGTCCCCAAAAGTAGTAGGTGTGGCAGAGCATGGCACCAGCCCCGTAGTACTGTGATATAAACAAAGAATGACAGTCACATGCAAAGCATTAAGGAAAATCTGTAATTCTATTGCAGAACAAAAAATCTAGTAGAGAATTTGCAACTACTACTTAAACTCTTTGTGCAAAAACAGTAACATGAAAATTATTCTGATGGTCACTCAAGAGGTCAGTTCCCTCACTTTCATAAACCTGCCTGTTTCCTCCACTGCAGTACTAATCCTCCAGCTAGGATGAAAATGGGGATCACCTTTCAAGGCTGAAAAATTACCACTCCATGAATTGGCCAGCAGGTTGTCTATAAAGATGCAGGTTTATACATTCCTTTCCTTCACAGAGTATTTCCTTTCCTTCTGGGCTACATTTGTTCCTTCTGACTGGTGGCATAGAAAGCCAGAGCTCAGTCTCACCTGTATGTGAAATGTGCTAGTGCTGCTTCCTTGCCAAACAGAAAAAAAACCACCCCAAACTATTTTTAGCTCCTAATATATTTTGTTGACAAAGAGCTAGTAGTATCAAGCAGTTCTATTGGCTTAGTGCTTTGGAACTGGGCTTTGAAATACTCCATATAGTCTTTTAAAGTTTGCATGTTGATGGGAGTGACACAGGAATTAAAAAGGAGGTGTGGAGGGGTGGTGTCTGTGAAAGGAGCCAAAGGTGCTCTGTGAATTACAGTTTGATTTTTTCACTCTGACATGTTAAAAACCAGCTCATTCATATGGGATGGAGCTTTTAAAAGAGCTGGGATTAAGCTGCTATTGTAGGAGTCTAAAGAAGTACAGCTGACTGGGTTTTCTCTTTTTTTTTTTTTTTTTTTTTAAATAATGTAAAGTACTTTGTTCACAGAATATCAAAGTTGTATTCCCTAGCAGGAAATTTGCAACTCCAGTAGCGTTTACAGAAGCACGAAAAATTTAAATATAGTGTGGGACTCCAAAAAATCCCTTTGCTTTTGTGCATGGTAAATCCAGCTTTTCAGGAGGTATGAGCTTTGAGGTTTCACTGACTTTTCAGTGGCTACAAGAATAGCTTCAAATGATGCACGGCAAGTTCATTTTAATATTTACCTCATCATACTCTACAAATATTTCATTCTACTCTTCCTTATTCTGAAGGACAATCACAGAGTGTCCTAACATTTACCCAACTGGTCAAGAAAAGTAAAGACTGGTTTGGACGGGCTTATTTTTAACTGTTAATTTTACTGAGTAATAACAGAAATGGAAGCTGATAAAAAAAACCTTGTTTCACAGGTGAAGGATCCTCTTAATGACATTTGTTTACTGGCTTTAACTGTTATACGCAAAGAAAGTTCATCAGGCCTGTCAGTTTTAAAGTGTCTGATCCTAAGGACAATGGCAACAAGCAGGCAGAAGTACTGCATCATCTGCCTAAGTATGACTTAAATAAAATATAATCAAACAATTTAAAAGAGAGAGGATCAGATGTAACTGAAGGATTCTTTTACACCAATACTGATTCAAAATCCAAGCAACGTCAATTGAAAGTATCTTTAAAATAAAACCTAGTTTTATAGCTTACTCATTCTCATCATCTGTACAGAAATTTAGTAGAAGGCCTATCATTTAAGGTTCAAAATAAGGCTCTTAAAATTGGCTTATATTGGATCTGAGCAATACGTAACCTTGAGCTTGCCCCAGTGGAAGAGTTAACACTTTAATTTCTTATGCTGTAAACCGGTTCTCAGTCAAAACCAGTTATTCAAAACAGGATCTAAAAGCCTTTTTCCTTTGACCTGAGATTAAACCACAAGATTTTTGTTTGTGCTTTATTTTTCCTTGTAAGTTTTCATTCTCCTGAAACAGCCAGTCAGGTTTCTGTGGCTGGACAAGTCCAGCAGCTCCTCTGAATCCGACCAGTACACATGACAAAAACTGTACTTTCTTTGTTGCTGAACTGTTTACTCTCACAGAAGTCCTGAGAACCGCGTGTCACCTGAAGAACTGGTGGCCAACAAGAGCGTTCTTCCACTCAACTCATTTAGAAACCTGGAAGAGCTGCCCGTTTGAGACCTGAGGGGGGTGTGGAAGCTGCTACACGTGCTTCTCAGTAGCAAGACATCTCCGTTTCTCTACTGCAGCATTTACACATCTGAAAATCAGCCCTGCAGCCTGTTTCTCTACACTGTCCTAACTTTTCACTCATCATCTGATCAACCTCTTAAGGGAAGAGAAATAAAATATAAATTACTTTTGAAAGATCCATCAGTGACTGAACGCTACTACAGCATGTTCAAAAGAAATAACCTCCCCAGACAGTTAATGAAGGAAACCATAATGCTTGTGGGAGGGCTGATGCTTATTACAGGGAAAAAAAACGTAAAAGGGTGTAAATTCAACCAGAATGGGAAGCAGTGTGACATCCAAGCACAATTGTTATGGCAACTATACAGTAAGAACTGCAGTTGTGAGGTGTGTATCCAGGGCCCTGCTCTACCACTGCTCCTCACATTTAGGAGTGCTTTACTCCACAACACATCTTACAAGAACAGCAGCAGTTATTTGTGCGATCTGGTACCATTTAGGAGTAGTAAGGAAGCAGGCTACAACACGTAATACTTTCATATTGTGTATAACAAGTATGTGTGTGTTCCTGTTAAGATCAGATGGTCTGCTCTGCCTACATAAATTTCCATTCTCTCATTCCTGTTACCATAGCAAAGTGATACACTTGATCACAGTTTTTAACAGTCTTAGGGTTTATCATTATGTCCCTTTTTAAAAATCTGATTTTTTTTTTTTCCAGGAATGCTTCAGACCTCATAAAATCTCTAAGTAATATACTATATTTAGAATAAACCACAAACCTTAACGGAAGAAATGCAAGTGTGGCTACTTCATTAAAACTCATCTTCAGCTCACGTAATTTACATTAGCTAAGCAACACACGAATGCTGATACCACCCTTTCTTTGCTTTATAGTGCTTTAATGATACAAGGAGCCATGAATCAGACTTAGCAATTGGAAAGATGGGATCTATGCAAGATTCGGGATTCAGTGAGCTGCTACTGCATTTAATTACCTTGTGTATTCTGAGACTTTGCAGGGTTTCTTTCCCAGAGAGAAAGAACGGACCTCGGAGCCATGGTCCAACTTTCTCTTCATCTGCAAGGTGAGGGAAAAGAGTAACAACATGGATTTAGTTAAATGACCAGCCTTTCTTACATGTACTTCTGTAAAATTAATCCATTTTACCTTTTACTTAAATACCTAAATTCAACAAAGCTGACACTCACAAGATGATTCAAAGTAATGTTTTAAGTTTCTAGCTTCAACAATATTTGATAGATGCTTTATACGGTGCGTGGATATATTATCGCTGGTTTAGGGTCCAAAATCGGTTGGAATTGCATTATTTTAATTTCCATATTTCAAATGTGAAAAAGTGTGCGGAACTCTTTGTTAGTTTATTTTCTAAACTGTTTGCTCGCTACTCTCCTGGGAGGGCAGGGAAAGAACTAAACCAAACCGAACCTCTTCATTCTTTGTGTTCAGCTTGATTGCCAAGTCTCTCACGGAAATGGTTAAATTTTAGGTAACCTCTCTGCATTATAATCCGGATATATATTTTAGGGCCTAAAAAAAAATAATTCAAATGTATTTTTTTCTTTTGCCTACCATTTTATTTTAAAGTAGTACATCGAAAACATTTTTAAAACTGCAGTAATCCTAACAGATTAACCAACATTTCTACAAGAAGGGTAAGGATGAAAACCACTAAACCTCAGCCTTCAATGTCACCCGCAATTAGATATGATCAAAACCAAATAATGAGCAGGGCAGCTGCTAAAAGGGGAAGCAAGTCTGCAAAAATTACCACAGATGTGGAAACCAGTGAAAGCCATATTTATGCAGTCAGACAAACAAAGATTACTTTCTACATATTTGGGTAATCTTTAACCACAGGCTTTTGGACTCTATGAGACATATGTACGCCAAACGCAATCTCTGAGTTTTTTGTTGGTTTTCTTTTTTTAAGACGTGATACACCAGAAGGTTCCAGCCAGCAGAACACGTACTGCTGTTTACAACTGTGAGCTCTAAAATACATAAACCACTCCTATGAAAATTCAGACTTTAGTTTGACTACTTCCTGCCTTTTTTCAAAATTTCATATTTGAGATACAGTTTAAAAGTTAGCATCTTTCTTACATGACTGATTTGATCTTTTATAATGTTAGGTTATAACATAGTTATTTAACCATTTTCTGTACCCATGTACCTACCTAAAAACAAAACACCAAACCCCCCCTGCAGGATTCCCTGAGGTTCATATACTTTTGTTCTAATTTGATTTTTTTTTTTTTTCTTAAACTTTAAAATACCTTTATGGCCTTCCTTAAAAACAGTCACTGAAGATGTTGTGTTTTGCTTTGCCAGGGATTACAAAGGAAAGCCAGCTACGGCTACTAACTAGTCTCGTTTTTACAGTAACGGCTCCAACGCCAGCAGAAGAGCTTGCCTTGTAGCCGTGTTTTCCTGCCCATGCCTCACATGGGACACTCCACAGCATCTCACCAGACACGCACTCAGCCAGAACCGCCCCGAGCGCTGCCGAACCTCCAACCTCACCCCCGCCGCTTCCCCACGCCCCAGGAAGAGCAGCCCCTCGCGCTTCCCCCAAGAAAACCAGATGTAGGCATTGCTGAAAAATAATGGATACCATCTTTTATGGCTGTTAGATGAGCAAACGACCAAAACTACAGGAGGCATAAATAAGATGTTTGAGCATCAATTTCACTATTTGATGATAGACTTTTCAGAAAGGATTTTTCTTCTTTGAGGAAATTTTTTACATCCAGCTTGCCTTTCTGAGAGGTTATCATCACCATCTTCCTCTTCTGTTTCTCTTAAGAGGGAGATGCAGTATTCCAAAAGCACACCTTAAAAATAATTAGTATGAAACCTGCAGTAAAATAAGCAGCTACAGGGATTTACTCTTTTGCCTTAGCAAATAACGTGCAGTTCTCTATTCTGTTGCCTAATAATGGTTTCACCCGTTTTTTTTCCCGAGGTATTTCAGGGAACTTTCTCATGGGGTCCACCACACAGCCAGACTTTCAACATCTCAGAATGTTCTAAGTAAATACACAGTCAAAAACGTCATTATAGCATAGGAGGAAGATAAAACTTTCTCTAGAGCAGAGCGGTCTGGTGACGAGATTTAGACATCAGTAAGGTATCTGTGTAACCGAAAAGCAGAACCCGCCGAGCAAACATCCTTGTAAATATTTAACCTGTCGCTAGGAAGACACAACTCCTTTAGACAACATTTATTTCTCGAAATAATTTGAGACTGCAGCATCTACATGTTAAAAAAAGGAAAGGGGGGCGGGGAGGGGGGAGAAGGCAGCGGACTGTATTCCGC